GCCGAGCCACCTCAGGGTGGCTCGGCATGAGCCGAGCCACCCTCAGGTGGCCCGACTCCCCCCCCTCTCTCTCTTGTGCACAAAGGCACAGTTCAGAGAGGCTATAAATAGGGGGGGTGGTTGTTCATTTGAGGGACTTCTTCTGAAACTTTTGAGAGAGCCGAAACTCTGCCGGATTGTCACCTCAACTCGGAGATCTGAAGGCTTGAAGACTTGGAGACCCGGATTTGATTCTTAGCGAGCACCCGCACCGAAAAAGGCAGGAGTTCGAGAGAGTCTAATCCTCAGATCTACGTCGTTACACTCCGGATCTAAGCTTGGTTCTTAGATCCCGAGATTCGAGCGGTCGTTTCCTTGGTGAAACGATCCCTCCCGGCTATTATCTCCTTGGTGGGATAATACCCGTAATACGTCGTAGATCTGCTTGGATCCAGATCACGCGGTGGTCCACGGTAAGCAACCCCGGCGCAGGCAAACAACCCACAGAAGCAAGAGACCGGATAACAGGATCTTGTGATTTGTTCGGTAAAAGAGAGAAGTTGTAATTTTGATTTCTTTGTTTTATTTTGATTTTTATTGTAAGCCGGATCTTATAAAAAGACCGGATCTCTTTGTAACGCATAAAGTTGTTAACTGAGTGCAATGGAATCGATAATGAAGAAAACACCAACTTTCCCCGCGAACACCATGGTCATACTTCAGCTACTGATTTTGAACTAAAATAACAAAAGCATGGAAGGAAAAAAAAAGAAAAAAGAAAACCCCCAAATATATTGCTTGCTAGAAAACTCAAACAAGCAGAAATTTACCAGCATCATTTTAGTATCCTATACCCAAAAAAACATGGACCAAATCACCAACCTACTCCCTGACCAATCATTTTTGGCGAACAAAAACCAGAGGGAGGGTACAGGTTTTGGAGAACCAATTTCGAATTAATAATTGTGAAGAAAAACCTGGTAGAAATCAGCAAGAGAGTTACCATGCACACAATTCCCTGCTTTATTAACACACCAAGAAACTAAAAATCTAAGACAATCATATGAATATGAAATTGCAAATTATTTTCCGGAAAAGATGAGTTTCAATAGTTTTGAATTATGGAACGTTATTCTTCCTGCATTTATATATTCAACCAGAGACCAAGCTTGTGTCAGCATTGTTTCTGAACTAGGTACTATCTCTAACTTTTGAAAGGATCATATCATCTTACCTCACTAACATTAGCGACCGCATAAAGCATGGCCCCAAATATGACGAGTGTGTCTCCCTTAATTGGGCTGCTTCCTCCTGGAAACCAAAAAATGAAAAAAAAAACACATGATGAGAGTGAATGAAACAGTTGGATCATAGAATGAATCTTTTTGCAGTAGCATCAGTCTACAAATGCTAATTAAGAAAACAAAATTTTGAATATAAAACTATTTATAAGAACAGTCAAGGTACCGTCATGAACATTAAGGCATCCTAGAGGAGGAACATCAAGCATTTTCTTTACACAACACATTTCCCACGGAATATGGAAGCATATGAGTAAGAAATATAGCAAGTCAACAAGTAATTTTTCATCAACTTGAAAGATTTGTCTAACGACTAGACAAGTTCTAACTGAAAGGCTTTCAGCGAAGGTTAGTAATAATTCGGATATGCTTGTACTGAATGTGCTATACGCTTTGTCTAGTTCCAAGTAACTAATGTGTTTGCATAAAGTAATTAATAGCTTATGTGGGTAGATTAATTTAGCAAATAATATAGAATATAGATGGGATCAACTGAATTACTCTTTAAACATTTCTGGGCAAAATTGCTAGATTGGTATTTTTTGTTGACCCTTAGTGACACGTCGGTTATTTTCTTATTCCAGTGACAATTTGGTATATTATGTAGATTACGCAACAAATTAGCCTATATTTTGGCCGGAGCCAAAATTCCAGCCAAATTGAGTCACATGATGCTCACGTGTGGCCCACATCGCTGCCAACATGGTAAAAATTGGGATCAATTAAATTGCTAAAAGAGGTTTTTCTAACATTAGGGCTTAAAATTAGGGTTCCAAGAAATTTTAGTTCTTTTTCCTCCTAGCATCAAATTGGCTAGGGTGACAGAAATTGGAGTTAGATTCTGCATCCTCAAGCTCTTGCTCAAGGTCAGGCTCGAGTAGGAGCATGGAAGAAGTAAACTAATGGCTCAATGGGATGAAAAGCCCTAATTTACACAAATCAACCACGTTATAACCAAAGTAAGATTTTAAATCCATTAAATAACACTACGCACAAGGGGAATTTTTGCAATTTTTAGAAGATTCATCCCCTCCCTCACATGAATAGAGAAAAAGAGGGAAATGGAGATTATTTTGGGGAGTGGGGGTGTCCCATTTTTTTCCTTCAGTTACTCTACCTTGTAAGCCCACTTAATCCGCATCAGCTACATGTGAGCTACATGTGAGAAGACACATGACTCAATTTGGCCGGAATTTTGGCTCGGGTCAAAATATAGGCTAATTTGTCGCCGTAGTTTACATAATATACCAAATTGTGGCCGGAAGTAAGAAATTATACCAATGTGTCACGAAAGGTCAACAAAATATACCAATCTCATAATTTTGCCAACAGTTTTGTAACTTAAATTAATAAAATGATTCAGGTGTCTTATTACCTGCTCTATCACTTGCATGAACATCAGAGAACACAACTAAAACTAGTCCAGCAACACAGATAGCTGCACCAGCAAACTTCTTCATTCTGTATTTTGTCTTCAGAAAGATCCAAGTAAGTAATATGACAGATGGAATTGTCCAACAATCCAAAAGCATGACACTTGTCAGAGATGTGTATTGATAAGCCTTCACCACTGCACACAAATAAAATAAAAAATTGCCATCAATTCCCAACAGGAAGCTATTCTTGGTGATAAAGTTTTGAATAGAATAAAGACATTTTGATTTCGCATATCACCATATCAGGACAAGATAGAAAAGAAATGGTAGTTCAGTATGGAAAACTAGAATGACTAGAGTTCAATGTAATAAAAAGAAATAGTCACTGCAGAATGTCTGCAAAGGGCTACACAAAGAGTAAGAATCTTGAGAATGCTACACCATAATTGCCAAGCAACTGATCTACTAACAATGGAAAAAAGAATGTTCTAGGAGGAACGACATAACACAAACAAATCATTTTATCTTAGCTCACTAAGAATATTATTCCTAGGTAGCAGTAATCTAGGATAGCTCAGCACATTAATTTACTTTGTAAGAGAATCAGAGTACTATCAGGATGAATCAGCACTCACCAAGAAAATTGCCCTCCACATCGACAAAGGCAAGAATCAGATAGTAATACCATTTCATCTGCATTAACCAAACAACAAATGATCATAAATACGCCATAGCTAGAGCAGTTTCTTTTACAAGACAAAAATGATTTATGATGCATTGACCAAGGACTAATGCTACCATTATCAGGCAAAGGATTTAATAAAACTTATCAGAAGATCTGAATGCTAACTGCATAAACAACTGCCATTGTACAGGAAAAAAATGATGATTATTTCCAATAAATTTAATGTAGCATAACAGATTTGTTTCACAAAAAAACAGCAAAGCCTTTACCTAGGATTTTAGTCATAAATCATTTTCTTAATCAGCTCTATTAAGTCCTCTTTTGTAAACAACTATCCCATCCTTCTCCACTTCCTCGATGTATTTTTTGTTTCGCTCTATTCGTGCATCTTTTTACTGCAATAATCTACCATCTTGTCACACTTGTTAGTGGTACTGCATTATCTACTGTTCATTCCCACTTGAAGCCAATAATGGCTCTTTGTAGACACTCATTTCTTGTCTATTATTCAATATATTTCAACATATTTTGTTATGAAGTATCTTGAAGAGCTAGAGGTCAATAAATAACACATTTTTATAGATTTTCTTTACTAATGGTTATCAGTGAGGTTGGCCATATTATATAGGTAGTGCTGTCGTGCACTGTAAATTTGTTCTCTGTTATAAATTGATTAAATTTTCTCTGAGGTCCCGCAGTCTTCCCTTTCAGGGGGAGGACCTTCCTTCTTCATCTTGAAGACCTTGAGACTTCAGCCAATGACCTCACTTGTCTCAGTTAAAGGCCCTTGTACCAACTCGCTCCCGGCCGCTGCACAGCATAAATCTTATAAATTTTCTGGATTTTTGTAACTTAATAGGTACATACTTTTTCTTCCCCTCTTAAACGTGTAAAGGATTTGATCAGACCTAGCAATAAAGGATAAAAACCCTTTTGCCACAAATTGAATAGCTCGAGCTCAACTTTATTCTACCATATAGATGAATCTTCACTTTGTTTATTCAAACTTTACAAACATACTAAAGCACATATGCACCTAAAAAGTATAAACATGTATTTACTTACATACATACTCTGACTTTCTGCAAGGGCCCATTTGACTTCAAAATTTACTAAACTACAGGCATCTCTAAGATGTATTATAAATTTCTAAACTATAATCTAACTAACTTTACAGCCTAACTGGATATAAAACGGAGTTATCCGTTCATACTCACTTTCTGTAAGGGCATGATTAGCTTTCGAATCGCTAGACAATAGTTATCTCAAAGTTGTAATTATATATTAGTAAACTATAATTTAACTAAATTGACAGTCCAACTGGATACAAAATGGAGTTATCCTCATTCCTCAAACTGGATTTGGATGTGAAAAAACATGAAAATAAAAGATAGTGCTTCTCGTTTTCCTTGAAATTTTTTGAGGTTAAGGGAAAAAAACTGTCCGATTTGTTTTTTTTTTATAATATGCAGTTAAAACTCAAACTTTTGAGGTTAGTAAACAAACAAGGATTGACGGTGACATTCCTCAATTTAATATTACTCTAGAAAAGATATTACAGAAAACTTAACACAAAATGTAACATAGCCACTAAATAAAGGCGTTCCTTTTTTCCGTCACATCCATCCTTCAATGAAAATTCACAGAATATGCAGTAATATCCATTCCTTTCCGATAAAAATAAAAAATTCCCCTGAATTTTTATTATTATTTCAAATGCACAAAGTAACAGCAGTGGCGATACCTGAAGCGGTTTCCTACGGTAAATCACAATAGACCCGTAAACAATCGCCAGCAGCACATAATTCAAGAACGACTGCGACGTCGGAGCATTAATCCCTAATTAATTCGAGAATATAACTACATTATTCGCAATCAAACACAAAGGGAAAAAAAAATCAAAATTTTAACAGAGTTGAAGATCTAGAGACCTTTTCTGGCGAGCTCTGACGAAGTGAATCCAGTCGACGTGATCAGGAGCGAGACGAACTGCCCTATTCCGAGCCCAATCAGAGCCTTCTTCGTCCAAAACTCATCAAATCTCACCATCGAGGAACTCAAAACCCTAGATTAAACTAACACGAAAACTTCGTTCTTTTTTTTTTTTTAATCCTCCTCCTCCTGACGTCGTCGCTCTCTTTCCGCCTCCGTGTATAAAAAGGCTGCAGAGGTTTTAAAGAGTAATGATTGCTTGGGGAGAATGGACGGTGGAAATTAGAGATTGACGAATGCATGGGCCGTTGAAATGGAGGCCGCTGAAATTTGCTTGTGGGTCCTACTTGGTGTTGACTCTATATTTCTTTTTCCTTTTTTCCATATAAACCCGAAAACATATCTTCTTTCATATTTAAGCATACTCACTTTAATAATTACTCTTACTCCCAAAATATCTTTTGTCACTTGCTTTTAAACCCATCATTTGTTTCTCTGCGGATATAGCAACCTACAAGAAATTATAGGAATTTATGAAAAGATATAGCAATTTATAGCAAAATAATATCATATATCAAAATTGTTGAATATGAAAAATGAATTTTAAATGATTTAGTATAGAATTTTGGGTTTACAAATAATTTTGAAAATGGATGGGTTCACAAGTAAATAAGGTTAAAACTTTGGATTTATAGGCCTAATCCTTTCTGTTTGTCTTTTTCTCTTTTTTATTTTCTTTCCGGCTTGCGGCGCAGGGATTCGGGTTGTCGGGTTTGGGTTGAATTGCTTTGGGAACTTCTTTCCAAAAATGGGGAAAAGAGAGGAGCGCAGCGAAGTTTTGATGCTCTACGGTTGGCTTGAGTTGTTGATCGTAGATGCTGCTTTTGACCTAATAGGAATTAAGGCAAATAAAGGCTAAAAACGTATATATGATTATTTGCTAATTTTAATACGTGTCATCAATATCAATACTGGATCTCACCTCCAATTTACTGGACCAATTTTTTTCAAAATGCGAAACTCTAGGGGATTAAAGGGCATTTTCAAACTTCTATGTTATCTCAAAAGTTGTGGATGTCTAAAAATAGATTCGTTATTAGAATATAAAACTAGAATCATTAACTTTAATCATTACCATAGAGTTTTTGTGTAGTAGCATGGACTGGAGATGGTATAATAGCAAACCCAAGTTCGAATCCTACCGACAATGAATTTCTAAATTAGATTGAAAAAAGATACCGTGATATGAGTCCAACTTTTTTTCGGCTATAAAAGAGCTCTCGATACGTAAAGACATGTTAGAATATATAAAATTATAACATTTAATTGTCATCATAACTCTAGAGTATTGCTAGAATTTTTAGGCTGCTTCTGATTAATTTCTCCATAGGGAATAATCTTATCTGATTAGATTTATTCCAAGTCTAATGACACGTTGTTAATTGGTACTAATGTAAGTCAATTTGTAATTTTCATTACAGACAAAATCAACTTCCAACCAGAGACGAGGGAATACGTCAAGTCACATCTTTATACTATGGATTAAAAAGCTATTGAAGAGATTGTTTTTTTCCCTTACAAAAAGGGAGAGATTGTGAAGCTATCATTAAAGATATTAAAGCTGTAGTCCTAGTAGTTATTCTTATGGATAATAATTGTAAAAAATGGGTTGAAAGATAATAAGTTACCCCTTTTTTGATGTTGTTTGTAACTCAGACTTTTACCTGAGTTCGAGTTGTACTCATAACTTGACGAAAAAAAAAATCTTAATTTTATTTGACCATGAGCAATAATCAATGTTGTTTACAATATTAGCAAACAACAAACATGTATTTGTTCTAACCCAGTCTACCGAGCGAAAGCAAATACAAAGACATAAAATAAATGATAAGGTCTAGATGGTCAGTTATTTCTCCTAACTGATGGAATATTAATATTAATGAGGTTTACCGTTTACAGTAGCAGATTGGTTGCGGCCACCTCCTCCCTTAATACAACCACTGTCGTCACCGCCACCACTTCCTCCTCCTGTTTTTTGATTTATGGTAATATTTTGTGGAGGTTTATTCAAGGCAAAAGAAACATTACCTTTATTGTTATAACCGCTGGAGTGTGGGTAATCACTTCGTAAAAAACGGCAACGAATTGCTCAAAGAGTTGAAAAACGTGCAAAATCAGCAGCTACAGGAAAGTTTCGGGTCGGTCAACTGATCGAACATGATCAGTCGATCGACAACATGCACGTTACAGGGTCCGAAATTGGTGTTCTGAACGGTCGACTGATGGACCCTCATCAGTCGACCGATGCACATTGATCAGTCGACTTATGAGGGATCATTAGTCGACCGATATCGAATTCCTGGGCTGATTCGGTTTCCCAGCCTGTTTTGGTTTGGGTTTTTATATAAAAAGAAACATGTTTTCTAGGGTTTCTTAACCAGAGAAAAGAGATTGTTTTGAGCACATTGAGAGGGTGATTTGTTGGATAGCAGGATTCCTAATCTATTTTGGTAACATGAGGTTATTAGTATTCCTGATCTGTTTTGGTAACAGGTTATTAGGATTCCTAATTTGTTTTGTTTTTGGTTTTAGGATTCATAGTCTGTTTTGGTTTTAGGTTTTCTATATATATGGAAGATTTGAATCAATCAAAAAGAGGAGAGTTGTAATCAGAGATTAGAGAGACTTTTGAGCATTGTGAGAGGGAGATATTGTGAGCAAGTTGAGAGCTTTGGTTGAGAGTTAGTTTGTGAGTTTTGTGAGATTGTAACCCTTTGTACTCTCCTTGATTTAGTGGAATCTCCCTATCCTCTCCCCGTAGACGTAGGCTATTTGCCGAACCACGTAAAATTGGTTGTCTCGCTATTTGTGGATTTGTAATAGCTTATTTAGGTTCCCTTGATAGGTCAGTCCTAGAACTGATGAGAGGAAGAGCTGATATCTCACTTGGTTAAGATATTTTACTTAAGGTTCTTGTTTCCTTTGTGAAACAGGAATTCCTATTGCGACCTCTCTCTTGTTGTGCTGTCGAAGTGCTGTCGAAATTTTCGCTGCGCGTAACAAGTGGTATCAGAGCCCAGATTTTAGATCTAGGATTTTGGAATTAGGTGGAGGCAGATTCTTGTGTGAAGCTTGGTTCTTGGAGTTCTAGGCTTCGGTGAAGATAGCATAGGAGTTGATGTTGGAGATTTCGCTTTCCTCGTGTGGACAGGAGATCTATTTGGAATCCGTTCTAGGGTTTAGTTGGGTGATTCTTAATTTCTATCAAAGTTTGATTCTTTCTCTACAACTTAGAGTTAGTTTGCAATGGGAGAAGAAGGTGAAAGTAGCAAATCGATGGCGAGTACAGTTCAAGCTGGTTTTTAGAACACTAAAATTAGTGTGGTGAAGTATGATGGTAAAATTAATTTTGGTTTGTGGATGAGCGACGTACAGGATGCACTTAATGTTCAGAACTTGGAGGAGACCATCATGGTCCACGAGAGACCACCAAAATATGAAGAGGCGATATGGAAAAAGATGAATAGGAACGCTTGTGGGGTGATCAGGTCCTGTTTGGAACAGGAGTTGAAGTATGATGTGATTGGGGGTGACGTCTGCAATGAAGATGTGGGAAATTCTCAACAACAAGTATCTTACGAAAAGTGTTGAGAACAGATTGCATTTGCAGCGAAGATTATTCAAATTTTAGATATCCCGAGGCACCTCGCTAGCGGCTCATGTGAACAACTACACTAAGTTGTTGTCGGACTTGGCAAATGTTGATGAGAAGATATCGGATGAGTTCAAAGCTATTATCTTATTGGGCTCCTTACCAGATGAGGAGTATGACACCTTTGTGCTCACTTTGTTGAACGGGAGATCTTCTATCAGCTATAGTGAAGTTACTAATACATTAATGAATTATGATTTGAGGAGAAGGATAAGGAGACTTCCCACGTTAGTACTTCAGGAGAGACCTTGTCTACAAGAGGTAGAAGCCCATATCCGAAAGGTGGAAATAGAGGAAGGTCAAAGTCAAGAGGTCGTCACCAGTTAGGAAAGAACTAATGTGCATTCTGCAAGGAACAAGGGTATTGGAAAAGAGATTGTCCAAAGATCAAAGAGAAGGAGAATAGCAAGAAAAAGGGCCCGAAGGCCAATGAGGTGAACATTGCAAAAGGCGATGATTCCGATGATTCGAGCTTTTCTCTTTTGATTATTCCGAAGGTGAACCATTTGGATGCATCAGATTGGATGCTTGATTCTGGTGCTACTTATCATGTGACCCCTAGGCGAGATTGGTTTGCATCATTAGAGACTTGATGGGGGTGTTGTTATCATGGGAAATGATCAATCTTGTGGTATTTATGAGATAGGTACCGTGCGGATTCGGATGCACGATGGGGTAGCCCGCGAATTAAAGGAGGTGAGATTCGTTCCTCAGCTAAAGAAGAATGTTATTTCTATTAGAGCTTTGGAGGCGAAGGGATTCAAGATGACCTTTGAGGACACTGTAACAAAGGTTACTAAGGGATCTTTAGTGGTGATGAAGGGAGTTCGTAGTCGGAACTTATATTATCTGAAGGGGAGCACCGAGGTTAGCCAGGTTGCTTCAGCTATTTCAGAGGCGGACATGAGCAGGCTTTGGCACTACAGGTTGAGGCATACAGGAGAAAAGTCAGTACAGGCTTTGTGCAAGCAGGGGCTATTAAAAAGAGCCAAGAGTAGAAAAGTGGATTTCTGTGAGCACTGTGTTCTTGGCAAGAAAACGAAGGTGAAGTTCGGGACTGCTATTCATAGGACGAGGGGCATCCTGGACTACGTGCACACAGATGTTTGGGGTCCCACCAAGACTGCATCACTTGGTGGTTGACATTGGTTCGTCACGTTTGTTGATGACTATTCTAGACGTTGTTGGGTGTACACCATGAAGCATAAGAATGAAGTCCTAGATTTATTCGTGAAGTGGAAGAAGAGATTAGAACTGTAGACTGGGAGAAAGATCAAGACGTTGCGATCTGATAACGGTGGTGAATATACTTCAGACCCCTTCCTGTAACTATGTCGAGACGAGGGCATAGAGAGGCACTTCACGGTTAGTCATACACCGCAGCAGAATGGGGTGGTAGAGAGGCTGAATCGGTCTTTACTGGAGAAGGTCCGATGCTTATTGTCGCAAAGTGGTTTGGAGAAGATCTTTTGGGCTGAGACACTTACATATGCGAGCCACCTCATTAATAGGCTGCCTTCATCTGTGATTGAGGGGAAAA